GTAGTGGTGGTAGTAGCTAAGGGTAATTATTATCTTAGGGCAATAATTCACACGAATGTCAAGGCCACTTAGTGTGTACCCTCGGTAGTAATGTCACTTCAAAAGTCTGTGTACTTTAGACGTGACTACTATACCTTGTTTGCTGCCTCCACACACACACACACACACACACACACACACACACACACACACACACACACACACACACTGTAGTTGGCTTTTCCCCATGTAGTTATTATATATCTTATTTGTATCACTTATGTTACTTGTATATTATTTGTAATTCGTAACCCATTCCCCAAATATGTAACTGTATATTTTCAGCCTTCTGGCTGCCAAGCTCTTTCAATAAACCGTTAATTATTTTTATTATTATTAAAACACACACACACACACACACACACACACACACACTATTTACTTCTGTATGTAGGATTTTGTCCATTTCATATTGTCCTGTACAGTGTTGTTCAGAAGTGATTGACGGGATTTTCTTTCTCTTGTTGGACAATATCGTTTGGGAAATTAATTAGCCGGATTTTGTCCATTGGGAAGCTGTCTTGACATTTTTGTCCGAGGGAAGTAATGCCAATCCGCCTTTTAACATAAGAATGGAGGAAACTGCAGCGGGCCTATTGGCCCATACTGGGCAGCCCCGTTTACACCCAACCCCTATTGCTCATATAAGCATCCAACCTATGTTTGAAGCTATTCAGCGTATTCGAGTTAATGATGATATTTGGTAACTTGTTCCATTCATCCACTACTCTGTTTCCGAACCAGTGTTTACCTATTTCACGCCTAAATCTAAATTTGTCTAATTTAAAACCATTGTTACGAGTTCGCTCCTGGTTGGATAGTTTGAGTACCTTTGTAATGTCCCCTTTGTTTAGCCGTGACTTCCACTTATACACCTCTATCAGGTCGCCAATCGCTCTACGTCTCTCGAGGGAGTGCAAATTAAGATGCTTTAACCTGTCTCTATACTCAAGGTTCCTAATGCCCGGGATTAGTCTTGTCATTCTCCTCTGAATTCTTTCCAATGATTCTATATCCATTCTGTAATACGGTGACCAGAACTGAACTGCGTAATCCAGGTGTGGTCTCACAAGAGCAAGATACAGTTTTATGTTTGTCTGTGTGTATGTCTTTCTGTCACTGTATCTGTCACTGTCTCTATCTGTCTGTCTGTCTATGTTTCTGTTGGCCTTTCTCACTATCTCGTCATGTAAGCGTTAGTTTTATGGTCTCTTCCCTGACACAATATCTTAACTGGTCACACATGTCACTGACCTCTCTTAGTCACCACCAGAGGCCGCCACTGTGTCATAATGGACTCGTCCTTCCCTCGTGTTAGACCAGCAGCTAAACATTGACGCAAGTTATCATACCAAACAAGGCCAGTGGTGGTGAGGTTGGCCCCGTGACCCACACTTGAGGCGCTGGTTAATAAAATATACTCAGGGAGGAGGTGTGACGCCTGGTGACGCAAGGAGTTAATGGTGCTCCCTGCTGGAGGAACCTCGTGACCCCAGGCTTGAGGCACTTGGGTAGTAAGATAACCCCGAGGAGGAGATGTGACGCCTGGTGACGTAAGGATTTATTGGTTCTCTTTGGAGTAACTCGTGCCTGTGTGTGTGTGTGTGTGTGTGTGTGTGTGTGTTTCAAGACAGAACGTGTGTGAACGTCTCCAGCCCTCAAGTGAACGGCCATTTATGGAACGTAAGAGTGTAGGGGGTGGTGGTGAGGGAGGGTAATGGTTGCATGTCAAATGGGCTCCAGTTGTAATAGACCCCATCTTGATGTAACCATAAGGTCCGGGGCCCATTAGGTCCGGGGCCCATTAGGTCTGGGTCCCATTAGATCTGGGCCCCATTTAACCCGTCATAGGAGTCATATATACCTCTATCTTTCGAGGTTGTCAGGTCAAGCCCAGGAACCTGACACAGAGAAGACACTAACACCACCTGGCACCCAGCTGTGTCTTCAGTGGTGCTGGTCCTCTGTTTCTACACACACACACACACACACACACACACACACACACACACACACACACACACACACACACACGTGACGGAGGAGGTGTCCGTGACGGGAATATCATTTCATTTATTTGTCTCAAGTGTTGGTAATAAAATCAAATAAATATCACAAAACACATATGATTAAAGTTAGGAGTAGGAGGTAATGTTACGGTGTGGTGACGTGTGATACGACCCTAATGACGGTGTGTGGTGACGTGTGACTCACTACTGATGTGGTGACGTGTATTCTGACCCCTGTGACGGTGTGGTGACGTGTGATACCACCCTGCTGACAGTGTGTGGTGACGTGTGATACCACCCCTGTGACAATGGTACGGTGGCGGTGACGTGGAAACGCTAACAGATCGTGGCTCTCTCTCTCTCTCTCCAGGATAAAGAAGTTGAGATTGAATCACTTTTACGAGCAGTGGTGACAGAGGAAGGAAGGAAGGGAGAAAGGAATAAATATGAAGGAGTAAAGGAGGAAGGGCAGGAGTGAGGAAGAGAGGGATTAAGGGAGGGAAGGAAGGAAGGAGGGAAGTAGTGAGTGACTATGTTATTGTCAACCTTGAGAAAGAAGCACTTGTTGACGGTGGCCAGATGCTGGACGCCAATCACCCTCAGTGATTGCTGAGATGATCTACTCTCTCTCTCTCTCTCTCTCTCTCTCCCTCGTGACGTGGTATATGACCGTCGTCTTGCCCCACAGTTAAGTGTTGTCAAGTCTGATCCTTAATTAAAGGTTCAAGTACTGTGTTGAGTAGTGAGAACCTCCTCCTTCTCCTCCTCTTCCTCCTCCTCATCCTTCATCTTCTCCTCTAACTCCATCTTCTCCTCCTCTTCTTCCTCCATCTGCTCCTCCTCTTCTTCCTCCATCTTCGCCAGACATGGGGCTGTAGCCGACTTTGGCTTCTGGAAGCCAGGATTTTTTGGATTTGGCTTCAGCTTCGGCACTTTCTAAAGACTTTGGCTTCGGCTTCGAAGCCAGAGACATGGCACCGGCTTCTTATTTTCCCTTTGTTTATAATTGTTCCATTATTTCCTCTTCCTATTCCCCCGTTTGTTCCTCCTCCATGTGACTCTCATCGTCGTGTCTGTACTAACCTAGCCTAATGAATCTGCTGGGAGGGGGAGTAAAGTCTTTATTCAACACCCTCTTCCTCTCCTCCCTCTTCCCTTTCATGCCTCCTTCCCCTCTCTCCTTCCTCCCTTCTCTTCTTCCCCGCCTTACTCCCTCCTACCCCACCTCCCCACTTTCCCAATGGCTGTGTCAAGTCAATGAGATTTTGCCCTTCCTCCCCCTCCATCACCTCCCCCTCCACCACCTCCCCCTCCACCACCTCTCCCTCCACCACCTTCCCCAAGATGTGTTATATAGTCACCCCAAGATGTGTTATAGTCACCCCATGATGTGTTATGTAGTCACCCCAAGACGTGTTATATAGTCACCCAAGATGTGTTATAGTCACCCCAAGATGTGTTATAGTCACCCCAAGATATGTTATAGTCACCCCAAGATATGTTATAGTCACCCCAAGATGTGTTATATAGTCACCCCCAAGATGTGTAAGTCACCCCAAGATATGTTATAGTCACCCCAAGATGTGTTATAGTCACCCCAAGATGTGTTATAGTCACCCCAAGATATGTTATAGTCACCCCAAGATATGTTATGTAGTCACCCAAGATGTGTTATATAGTCACCCCAAGATGTGTTATAGTCACCCCAAGATGTGTTATATAGTCACCCCAAGATGTGTTATATAGTCACCCCAAGATGTGTTATATAGTCACCCCAAGATATGTTATAGTCACCCCAAGATGTGTTATGTAGTCACCCCAAGATGTGTTATAGTCACCCCAAGATATGTTATAGTCACCCCAAGATGTGTTATATAGTCACCCCAAGATGTGTTATATAGTCACCCCAAGATACGTTATAGTCACCCCAAGATGTGTTATATAGTCACCCAAGATGTGTTATAGTCACCCCAAGATATGTTATAGTCACCCCAAGATGTGTTATATAGTCACCCCAAGATATGTTATAGTCACCCCAAGATATGTCACCCCAAGATATGTTATAGTCACCCCAAGATATGTTATAGTCACCCAAGATGTGTTATAGTCACCCCAAGATATGTTATAGTCACCCCATGATACCCACCCCAAGATGTGTTATAGTCACCCCAAGATATGTTATATAGTCACCCCACCCCAAGATATGTTATAGTCACCCCAAGATATGTTATAGTCACCCCAAGATGTGTTATAGTCACCCCAAGATATGTTATATAGTCACCCCCAAGATATGTTATAGTCACCCCAAGATATGTTATAGTCACCCCAAGATATGTTATATACCCACCCCAAGATATGTTATAGTCACCCCCAAGATATGTTATAGTCACCCCAAGATATGTTATAGTCACCACCAAGATATGTTATCACCCCAAGATATGTTATAGTCACCCCCAAGATGTGTTATATAGTCACCCCAAGATGTGTTATAGTCACCCCATGATGTGTTATGTAGTCACCCCAAGACGTGTAATCCAATCACCCCAGATCGGGACGTGAGGTGAACTCAACCAAGGACTTGGGGGAGATTAATTCAACTTTGGATTTGGACTTGAGTGTATCTTGAGTGTGTCTTGAGTGTATCTTGAGTGTGTCTTGAGTGTTTCTTAAGTGTGTCTTGAGTGGGAAATATTATAGTAAGTCAAAAATGCATCGTTATAATTAAATGCACCTTTATAATGCACTAATGATGTTATTTAAGGGTTCGTGTGTAGTCATTAGGGCCAGGTACAAGATGACTCACCTGTTAGCTCTTACTGTAAGTTGTTTTGTAGTTTATTATTATTATTATTATTATTATTATTATTATTATTATTATTATTATTATTATTATTACTATTACTATTACTACTTGAGTACTAACATGCGCCCCCCCTGCTACTCCTCCTCCAGGCATGAGTCATGACCGCAGCTACGTGTTGTTCCGGGCGGGGGAAGTCGCCGACCCAGCCGTCAAGACCTTCTCTGAGACAGGCAGGAGTGACCTTATTGACCAGCAGGCACAGGTCAGTCCCTCACCTTACCCTGTCAGTGTGTGAGTCAGTCAGTCAGTCAGTCTCTCTTAGATATCCAGTAAGTTGGTTGTGTATGTTAGTTTGGTTGTTGTTGTTTTTTTTCAATCTTTCAACAATAGGGAATCGAACCTTGACCTCTTAACCTACTGTAGTTCAGTTTATTAACCAATCAGCCACCGCTCTCGTTAACACAAGCAGTCAGAGTTTGTTTATCCTTGCCAGCCACCAGTGAACCTCTCTCTCTCTCTCTCTCAGCCAACAAAGGTCAGAGTTCACGGATTCTTTTTTTCACCAATATACATTTTTTTGGGGGAGGTGAAGGCTAGGACGACCGTGTTAAATGTACCATCCTGGGTCAAGGTTAACGTGCGTGTGTGTGTGTGTGTGTGTGTGTGTGTGTGTGTGTGTGTGTGTGTGTGTGTGTGTGTGTGTGTGTGTGTGTTCTCTCTACTGCTAAAATGCTTCTGAAAGTTGCTGCCTCCAAACTTGTCGTGGACGAAAGTGGATGTGTCTTGTGAGTTGAGTGGATAACTTTAGTGGGTAACTTTAGTGGATAGCTTCAGTGGATAACTTAAGTTGATAACTTCAGTGGATAACTCTAGTGGATAAATTCAGTTGATAACGTCAGTGGATAACTTTAGTGGATAAATTCAGTTGGTAACTTCAGAGGACAGCTTCAGATGATAACTTCAGTGGATATCTTCTGTGGATAACTTTAGTGAATAACTTCAGTGGACAAATTCAGATGATAACTTCAGAGGATAACTTCAGATAACAAACTATTAAGTGACATTCCCTAAGTTTCAAACCTCATATAAGTAATGTATTTTCTGTCAAATAATTACACCACAGAACAACCATTCTACCATACTGTGTCATACTAAATAGATGTGCTGACTGGCCTTCTTCTGTTCATCACTATTATTGTTTCAAACTCTTGTGATAAAAGGTGATTATAGTACTATTATTCTGAAATAGGTTAGGTTTGTTTAGGTTGGATTGGGTTGGGTTAGCTTAGGTTAGGTTAGGTAAGGTTGGGTAAGGTTGGGTTAGGTTAGGTTAGGTTAGGTTAGGTTAGGTTAGGTTAGGTAAGGTTGGGTTGGGTTTGATGCGATTAGGTTAGATTAGCTTGGGGTTACATTAGGTTAGGTTACGATAGATCAGGCTTAGGCTATGTAAGGTCAGATCTACGTTTTGCCTGGTTGGACTAGATTAGGTTAGGTTAAATGTGGGTAAGTCAGGTTAGGTTAAATGTGGGTAAGTCAGGTTAGGTTAAATGTGGGTAAGTCAGGTTAGGTTAGGTTAGGTTAAATTAAATTAGAAGTCAGTTGAGGTCAAATAAGGTGGGGTCTCTAATCTTCACGTAATGGCCTGGAGGAGGAGGAGGTGGAGGTGGATGGGGCAGCTGACAGACCCTCTTAGACCAGTGAGGTGTTTCCCTGATGGACAAATTTTACCTCACGTATTTTGAGCGAGATTTCCAACACTACGGACACGAAGAACGACCGGGAGAAGTTGGTGATGGATGAGCGAAGTTGGTGATGGATGAGGTGTAGGATGGGTGATTTTGGTGACGGATGTTGGTGTAGGATGTTTGATTTTGGCGATGGATGGATGAAGTTGGCGATGAATGAATTAATGAAACGATGGATGAATGATTTTGGCGAAGTAGAGGTGAAACTGGAGAGGGATACGATAAGTTGGCGAAGGATCAGAGAAGTTGGCGAGGGGCGAGAGGAGTTGGCGAGAGGCGGGAGGAGTTGATCCCCCCGTGTCGGCCTCACGGGTTGGGTCGTCTCGATAAAACTTCATTATTTTTCCTCCTGGAGACTTAACCTGACCGAGTTTGTTGGAGACCTTGTGAGAGGGAGTGAGAGGGGGAGAGGGTATGAGAGAGGACAGGGAGGAGAGTGCGAGAGGGAGGAGAGAGTGTGAGAGGGGGAGAAGGCATGAGAAAGTGTCAGAGAGTGTGAGAGGAGGAGGGGGAAGAGAGTGAGTGAGAGGAGAGGGAGGAGTGAGCGAGAGAGTAAGAGTGGAGAAAGAGAAAGGGAGTGGGGTAGGGAAGTGAGAGGGTAAGGGTGATAGTAAATGAGAACCAAAGAGATGAGAAAGAGGGAAATGGGAAGGGAAGAGAGATAGAGAGGGAGAGGGGAGTGAACGTGAAAAAAGAGAGGGAAAGGAAAGAGGGAATGAGTATAAGTAGGGGAGGGGGGAGGAGGAAGAGAGAGAGAGAGAGAGAGAGGGAGAAAGTATAAGGAGAGAGAAGGAGATATTGAGAATGATTGAGAGATAGAGAAAGACATAAAGAGAAGAAAGACTGAGAGATAGAGAGAATATTATACCTCCCTGACCCAGCCACCACGAAACAAGATGGCAGCTAGATTACGCCGAGACTCCTGAAGAGCAATATCTTCTCCACTACTGCCTGACGCCCTCCTCCACACCTGACAGTGGTGCTAGTGCTGGTGGCTGTGGTGGTGGCTGGTGGCTGTAGTGGTGCTGGTAGCTGTGGTGGTGCCGATAAGTTTTGGGAATTCTCTTTTCAATTTAGACGCCATGTGCCTCCTCCTAAGCCAAGTCGAACTTAACCTGACCTTGACCTAACATAACCTTAACCTAATCTATAATCTAATCTTAATTTAATCTAGCTTTCACTTAACCTAATCTAACATAACCAAACTTAAACTAGCCTAGCCTAACCGAACTTAAACTAACCTAACCTAACCTAACACAACCTAACCTTGACTGTCTGGGAGTCATAACTGCACACGCATTTCTGTTGGTCAATACATATTTGTAGTTCTATCATGGACAACCTTTTTCTGGTGATCGCTGGAACTCGACTCTTTGTGTCACCCTCGTTTGGTCAGTCATAACTTAAAGACAACAAGAGAAATTGACAAACAGTTTCCTTTACCCTGTTTATTGGGTCAATATCTAGGACATGGGAGTGTTTTGGTGACCTCATTATTGAAGTTCAGAGGTCAGGGGTCAATAAAAACAGTGAGTAGGTTGAAAGATATGTGAAATAACTCTCTGAAAATGAGTGTGCTCCAATTATTATTATTATTATTATTATTATTATTATTATTATTATTATTATTATTATTATTATTATTATTATTATTATTATTATTATTATTATTATTATTATTATTATTATTATTATTATTATTATTATTATATGTCTTGTACTAACACGTATCTCACCCCCACAGGGAGAAAACGGGGTCCTGGATGCCTTCAACACTCCACCCATCACACAAGGCGTGGGCACGGCCGAGTCTCACTTCTTCGTGGATGGGAACCACTCTAGGGTGAGTACCTGAGTCCTCGCTCTTTCTACGTGGCAACCTAGCCTAGCCTAGCCTAGCCTAGCTTAGTCTACCCTGACCTAACCTGACCTATCCTAACGTATCCTAACCTAACCTAACCTAACCTAACCTAACCTAACCTAACCACTTTAGGGTAAGTATCTAGCATCCTCTCTGGTTCTCACGCACTCATACACATTCAGAAGTGAGTGCACGCAATACTTAAACAACCAAACGTTAGTACATAGCATAATTAAACACAAAGCCCAAAATATTCAAATATGCACATACAGTATATAGTAATATACATATACGATATATACATGCATATATACAGTAACTTACATATGCAGCAGCATGAATATACAATAAACAATAACACCCTCATACAGACAAGTACCGACACTCATACAGACACTGGATGCTGGGAGCTAATCCACCGCCCACAACTTCTGAAAGTCATACACATGTATTATGCAGGTACTGTACACATACTCACATGAACAAGTGCTGCGAGGGGTGTACATGTGTCAGGGCAGGTGTACAAGTGGTATGACAGGTGTGGATGTGTCAGGGCAGGTGTACAAGTGGTAAGACAGGTGTGGATGTGTCAGGGCAGGTGTACAAGTGGTAAGACAGGTGTACATGTGTCAGGGCAAGTGTACAAGTGGTAAGACAGGTGTGGATGTGGCAGGGCAAGTGTACAAGTGGTAAGACAGGTGTGGATGTGTCAGGGCAAGTGTACAAGTGGTAAGACAGGTGTGGATGTGTCAGGGCAGGTGTACAAGTGGTAAGACAGGTGTGGATGGCCAAAAATACCTACCTGCCAGGAAACTTGACCTTCACGTGTAAGAAGGACATAAGTGTTTACCATCAACCCAAACACACACCGGAAGACGCCTCTCACCTCTCACCCCCTGTGCCTCTCTCCTCTCACCTCTCCTCCCTGGGCCTCTCTCCTCCCCACCTCTCCTCCCTGGGCCTCTCTCCCCTCTCCTCCCTGGGCCTCTCTCCCTCTCACCTCTCACTCCCAGGGCCTCTCCCTCTCACCTCTCCTCCCTGGGCCTCTCTCCCTCACCTCTCTCACTCCCTGGGCCTCTCTCCCTCTCACCTCCCTCCTGGACCTCTCTCCCTCTCACCTCTCCTCCCCTGGAGCCTCTCTCCTCACCTCTCACTCCCTGGGCCTCTCTCTCCCTCTCCAACCTCTTACTCCTGGGCCTCTCTCCCTCTCACCCTCTCACTCCCCCTGGCCTCTCTCCCTCTCACCTCTCACTCCCAGGGCCTCTCTCCCTCTCACCTCTCCTCCCTAGGCCTCCCCTCTCACCTCTCACTCCCTGGGCCTCTCTCCTCTCACCCCTCTCACTCCTGGGCCTCTCCCCTCTCTCACCTCTCCTCCCTGGGCCCTCTCCCCTCTCACCTCTTACTCCCTGGGCCTCTCTCCTTCACCTCTCACTCCCTGCCTCTCTCCTCTCACCTCTCCTCCCTGGGCCTCTCTCCCTCTCTCCTCCTCCCTGGGCCTCTCTCCCTCTCCCCACCTCTCACTCCCTGGGTCTCTCTCCCTCCTCACTACCTGGAGCCTCTCTCTCCCTCTCACCTCTCCTCCCTGGGCCTCTCTCCCTCTCACCTCTCACTCCCTGGGCCTCTCTCCTCTCACCTCTTACTCCCTGGGCCTCTCCCCTCTCACCTTTTACGCCCCTGGGCCTCTCTCCCTCTCCCCTCTCCACTCCCCTGGGAGCCTCTCTCCCCTCTCACCTCTCACCCTGGGCCTCTCTCCCTCTCTGCCTTGCCCCACACTCCCTGGGCCTCACTCCCTCTCACCTTTTTTACTCCCCTGGGCCTCTCTCCCTCTCACCTTTTTCTCCCTGGGCCTCTCTCCTCTCACCTCTCTCTCACTCCCTGGGCCTCTCTCCCTCTCTCACCTCTCACTCCCTGGGCCTCTCCCTCTCACCTCTCTCCTCCCCTGGGCCTCTCTCCTCTCACCTCTCCTCCCTGGGCCTCTCTCCCTCTCACCTCTCGCTCCCCTGGGCCTCTCTCCCTCCACCTCTCACTCCCTGGGCACTCTCTCCCTCTCACCTCTCCCCTCCCTGGGCCTCTCTCCCTCTCACATCTCCTCCCATGGGCCTCTCTCCCTCTCACCTCTCCTCCCCTGAGCCTCTCTCCTCTCACCTCTAACTCCCCTGGACCTCTCTCCTCTCTCCTCCCTGTGCCTCTCTCCCTCTCACCTCTCACTCCCTGGGCCTCTCTCCTCTCACCTCTCACTCCCTGGGCCTCTCCCTCTCACCTCTCTCACTCCCTGGGCCTCTCTCTCACCTCTCACTCCCTGGGCCTCTCTCCCTCTCACCTCTCCTCCCTGGGCCTCTCTCCTCTCACCTCTCACTCCTGTGCCTGCCTCTCTCCTCTCCCCCCTCTCACTTCCCTGGGCCTCTCTCCCTCTCACCTCTCCTCCCCTGGGCCTCTCTCCCTCTCCTCTCACTCCCCTGGGCCTCTCTCCCTCTCTCCCTCTCACTTCCCTGGGCCTCTCTCCTCTCACCTCTCACTCCCTGGGCCTCTCTCCCTCACCTCTCACTCCCTGGGCCTCTCTCCCTCTCACCTCTCACTCCCTGGGCCTCTCCCTCCTCACCTCTCCTCCCTGGGCCTCTCTCCCTCTCACCTTTTTACTCCCTGGGCCTCTCTCCCTCTCACCTTTTACTCCCCTGAGCCTCTCTCCCTCTCACCTTTTACTCCCTGGGCCTCTCTCCCTCTGCCTCTCCCCACTCCCTGGAGCTCTCTCCCTCTCCTCTCCTCCCCTGGGCCTCTCTCCTCTCACCTCTCCTCCCTGGGCCTCTCTCCTCTCACCTCTCTCACTCCCTGGGCCTCTCTCCCTCTCACCTCTCTCCTCCCCTGGGCCTCTCCTCTCACCTCTCCTCCCCTGGGCCTCTCTCCCCTCTCACCTCTCTCACTCCCTGGGCCTCTCTCCCTCTCACCTCTCTCACTCCCTGGGCCTCTCTCTCCCTCTCATCTCCTCCATGGGCCTCTCCCTCTCCTCTCTCACTCCCTGGGCCTCTCTCCCTCTCACCTCCTAACTCCTGGACCTCTCTCCTCACCTCTCACTCCCTGTGCCTCTCCCTCTCACCTCTCACTCCCTGGGCCTCTCTCCCTCTCACCTCTCTCACTCCCCTGGGCCTCTCTCCCTCTCCACCTCTCACTCCCTGGGCCTCTCTCCCTCTCCTCTCTCCTCCCTGGGCCTCTCTCCTCACCTCTCACTCCCTGGGCCTCTCCTCCTCTCCTCCTGGGCCTCTCTCCTCACCTCTCCCTGGGCCTCTCTCCCTCTCACCTCTCACTCCCCTAGGCCTCTCCCTCTCCCCTCTCCCCACTCCCTAGGCCTCTCCCTCTCACCTCTCCTCCCCTGGGCCTCTCTCCCTCTCACCTCTCACTTGCACCCCTGGGCCTCTCTCCCCTCTCACCTCTCCTCCCCTGGGCCTCTCTCCCTCTCACCTCTCTCACTCCCTGGGCCTCTCTCCCTCTCACCTCTCTCACTCTCTGCCTCTCTCCCTCTCACCTTTCACTCCCTGGGCCTCTCTCCCTCTCACACCTCTCCACTCCCTGGAGCTCTCTCCCCTCTCCTCTCCTCCCTGGAGCCTCTCTCCTCTCCCCTCTCACTCCCTGGGCCTCTCTCCCTCTCACCTCTCCTCCCTGGGCCTCTCTCCCTCTCACCTCTCACTCCCTGGGCCTCTCTCCCTCTCACCTCTCCTCCCTGGGCCTCTCTCCTCTCCTCTCCTCCCTGGGCCTCTCTCCCTCTCACCTCCCCTCTCCTGGGCCTCTCTCCCTCTCACCTCTCACTCCCTGGGCCTCTCCTCCCTCTCACCTCTCCTCCCTGGGCCTCTCTCCCTCTCACCTCTCCTCCCTGGCCTCTCTCCTCTCCTCTCTCTCCTCCCCTGGGCCTCTCTCCCTCTCACCTCTCACTCCCTGGGCCTCTCTCCCTCTCCTCTCACTCCCTGGGCCTCTCTCCCTCTCACCTCTCCCCCTCTCCCCACTCCCTGGGCCTCTCTCCCTCTCACCTCTCCTCCCTAGGCCTCTCTCCTCTCCTCCTTACTCCCTGGGCCTCTCTCCCTCTCACCTCTCCTCCCCTGAGCCTCTCTCCCTCTCCACCTCTCCCCTCCCCTGGGCCTCTCTCCTCTCACCTCTCCTCCCCTGGGCCTCTCTCCCTCTCACCTCTCACTCCCTGGGGCCTCTCTCCTCTCCCCTCTCACTCCCCTAAGCTCTCTCCCTCTCACTAAAAGACTCCAGCATAATCGTTTTGTTTACAAGTGCAACCGGACTCTTGCCTCCGTTATTACTTGTTTGTGTGTGTGTGTGTGTGTGTGTGTGTGTGTGTGTGTGTGTGTGTGTGTGTGTGTGTGTGTGTGTGTGTGTGCATGTATGTGTCCATGTATGTATGTGTATGTACTCGTATGTATGCTTAATGTCCGTATGTGACTGTATGTGTATGTCTAAATGTATTAGTGTGTGTGTGTGTGTATGTAATATATATATGTATATATATATATATAATATGTATATATATATATATATATATAAAAATAATAAACGGTTTATTAATAGAGTTGCAGCCGATGGCTGAAAATATATAAATTTCCATGTCATTTAGACATAATGGTATGCGTTCAATACATTTACAGGGCTGTAAGGTACATAAATCAGGAGCTGTTTATTATTTTAACAATATATGGGATGGTGCTATTCTTATATCTATCAGTGCGGGCTCTTATGGGCTGAATTTTGTTGTAGTGGCGGACTGCGCAAGGTGGGCGTGGTACTGCTGGTGGCAGTAAGTGGCGATGACGAGGATAGTGCAGTAGTCCACTGCCAAACCCTGCTAGTGCGTGGTGGTGGAGGTCACTGAGGGATGGCATTTCCAGGGTGGAGAGAGCGTTGTTGTAGCCGGAGTAGTCTGCGCCGAGCATGATTCTGCAGGCCCTGTTCTGTACCTTCTCTAGCTGACGTCGTTGGGTAGAGTTGAGAGA